ATGTAAACCATCAAGTTTAAATGTTCATAAACTTCTTTTTACAAATGTCATTTTATGGTTTCAGATAAGTCGTCGTTGTATATATCAATGCACTGAAGACGACGCTTTATTCTAATTTTTAAATACCAATATTTCAAACAGCAGAGACACAAAAATATGTAAACAAAGAGAAGTTGTCAATTTTTAGCTTCTCTTTGTTTACTTGTAAACTTGTAATTTCATAAATGCTGATAAGAAATCAAAACATTATTAGTAAAAAAGTCATCTTCATTATTTTGATATAATCACCGACCACTGTTTGTGTGTTTAAGTACAACGTAATTTGGTGATTTTGTTCATTTTTGTTTTTATTCATTTTTAGCAATGTTGAGATTGCTGTGCAAAGTATTTTTTATTGTTGATACATTTTGTCCACAAATGTTTATATCTGCAGGTACAATCATTTACCAATATTGACTGGACTAGTGTATTTATACCAAATATAAGAAAAAAGGATTACTAAATGTATTTTGGCAATAATACATAAAATTCAAGATAAATATGAATAAATGCATTCAGAGTAAATTGGTTGGAACACTACAAAAGAAATACAAAAAACAACATATATCAACGGATACGTGATGTGAGGCAAAGTGTTTTTTATTTTTTTTACTATCATAATTGTAGAAGAGTGAATATATTTTATTTTTAGAGTTGGCAATCTATACTCTTATTACACCTGGTTGTGGTCCAGTGTTCAACTACTTGGTGGAGAAACACGAGGAGCTGGAATCTATCAGTATAGGGTTTGTTGAACATGAGGATAAAGATGAAAATAAGGATCAGGATGAAATCGTTCTGACAACACTCTCTCATGACAATTTAAAATCTATTAGTATTCATGGTATGAAGAATACAGGAGATATTACTGGTCGTCTTCCTAGTACTCACCCTAACCTAGAGAAGCTACAGTTGACAGATTGGCATGAGCTGTCAGATAAAGGACTGATGAAGATACTGAGAAGATATAGGAGTAATCTGAGAGAATTGAAGTTAGATGGTTCTAACATAACAGGGGTTGGTATAAAGAGAGGAGTAAAATATCTTCCAAACATCGAGACATTGAAACTGGATTCCTGGATTCCTGGAATCCTGACAAATGATGGACTGGTGGAGATACTGAGTATATCTGGGAGTAAACTAAGATATCTGGATGTATCCTGGACTAGTATTACAGGGGTTGAGTTAGAGGAGAGAGTAAAGTCACTACCAAACCTTGAAACACTGATCATGTCTGGTTGCGAAGAGTTGTCAAATGGAGGACTGGTGGAGATACTGAGAATATCTGGGAGTAAACTCAGATATCTGGATGTATCCTGGACTAGTATTACAGGGGTCGGATTCGAGGAAGGAGTAAAATCTCTTCCAATGCTGTAGAAACTAGTCCTATTACAATGTGATGAGCTGTCTAAAGAAGGACTCCTGGAGATACTGAGCATAGCAGGGAATAGATTGAAGACCGTGCAACTATATGGAAACAATTTTTCTCATAAAATCACAAAAACTCTCCGTTTACAATATCCTTCTGTCTATTTTGAGATTATTCCTGTAGTAACCTGAAAAATGATGGACTGGTGGAGATACTGAGTATATCTGGGAGTAAACTAAGATATCTGGATGTATTCAGAACTGGTATCACAGGGGTTGGGTTAGAGGAGAGAGTTAAGTCACTTCCAAATCTTGAAACACTGATCATGACTTGTTGCGAAGAGTTGTCAAATGGAGGACTGGTGGAGATACTGAGAATATCTGGGAAGAAACTAAGATATCTGGATGTATCCTGTACTAGTATTACAGGGGTTGGGTTAATGGAGGGAGTTGAGTCACTACCAAACCTTGAAACACTGATCATGGCTTATTGCCATGAGTTGTCAAATGGAGTACTGGTGAAGATACTGAGTATATCTGGGAAGAAACTAAGATATTTGGATGTTTTCAGAACGAATATTACAGGGATTGGATTCAAAGAAGGAGTAAAATCTCTCCCAATGCTGGAGAAACTAGATCTATCAGAATGTGATGAGCTGACTGAAGAAGGACTCCTGGAGATACTGAGCATAGCAGGGAATAGATTGAAGACCGTGCAAGGATATGGAAACAATATTTCTCATAAAATCACAAAAACTCTCCGTTTACAATATCCTTCTGTCTATTTTGAGATTTAACCAGTTTACACATTTCAGAGAATTCTATCTAAAAATAGTATTATTTGGAAGATTGTTTATCTAGATGGACTATCCTCGAATCTAGTAACCACCGTAGTACGTAAACACTACAGATTAGAATTAACTGAGGAGAACATTATATTAATAGAATGTTTTTCAGAGGTTTGTTTTTTCTTCTCAATATTTCTGTTTTTGTTAAACAAATATATTTTCTGTAAATCTTACTCAACCCATTTTTCTTCTTATAATTCCTTTATTTTTAATATCTTCTGCTACAGTCATCCTAATTACTCCTGATTAACATTTAAAAAAGTGTATCTTTTTTAACAATATTCTGGTTCTAATTGCATTCATAATTAAACATCAGGATATCAGGAGAAAGATCTGAAAACCCCCCAAGTTGGAGAACTCAGAACATATTCTGATATTTAGATGTAAAATATGATTTCTACATAAAGCTGTAATATTTTAAAATTTGTTACTTTTTAAGTTACTTTTTGTTATTAGAGCACTTAGTTAATTTCAGCTTTTAATGAATCATACAGATGAAAAAAAATTGGAATAATTCAACTGAATGAGAATAATGGGATTCTCAAACTTGTTTCTTGGTATAGTCATGATAATCAACATATTTTTTACGTATAATTTCTCTGTTTGTCATTCTGTTTTTAAAAAGATTATTTTGAATATACAGCGAATGTTAAAGTTGTATTTTTCAGAGAAGATAAGCTTAAAATGGAGATATTGTTGTCGGGATTAGAGAGGATGGTAGAGTATGATCTGATAGTCTTGCTCAAGTATTTAAGTAAGAAGGACAAGATGTCACTAAGAGCATCAAGTACAACCTTGCGAAGACGAATTGATGAATTAGAGAACACATTCAAGGTTTGGAGGATTTGTGGAAAAGTTGATTCTTCTAGACTGAGAAGATTATCAGACGAGATATGTAGTATTCAAGGTAACACCTTCAACAAAGAGTTTGCAATGCATATTTCAATTTATTTCCTTGCATTTTTTATTCAAATTAGTTAAATTTTTATGTTAAACAGAATTTTGTAGTATATATAAAATTTATTTTTAGAGTTGAATATTTTTCTTCTTATTACACCTGGTTGTGGTCCAGTGTTCAACTACTTGGTGGAGAAACACGAGGAGCTGGAATCTATCAGTATTTGGTTTGTTGAACATGAGGATAAAGATGAAAATAAGGATCAGGATGAAATCGTTCTGACATCACTCTCTCATAACAATTTAAAATCTATTATTTTTTATTGTATGAAGAATACAGGAGATATTACTGGTCGTCTTCCTAGTATTCTTCCTTACCTAGAGAAGCTACAGTTGGCAGATTGGCATGAGCTGTCAGATAAAGGACTGATGAAGATACTGAGAAGATATAGGAGTAATCTGAGAGAATTGCATTTAGTTGGTTCTAACATAACAGGGGTTGGTATAATGAGAGGAGTAAAATCTTTGCCACACCTAGAGTTCCTGAACCTGGCTTCTTGTAATTGGCTAATTGATCATGGACTGGTTGAGATGCTAACAATATCCAGGAGTAAACTTAGAGATCTAGATTTATCTTCTAATAGAAGTATAACAGGGATTGGTCTGAAGAAAGGAGTTAAATCTCTTCCAAATCTCGAGTCATTGGACCTGAACTGTTGTAGTAACCTGACAGATGGAGGACTGGTTGAGATACTAATTCTATCGTGGACAAAACTCAGATATCTGGATGTATCTAAAACCAGTATCACTGGGATTGGGTTAAAAGATGGAGTTAAGTCTCTTCCAAACCTAGAGACCCTAATTCTGTATAGGTGTAAAGAGTTGGTAGATGGAGGACTGGTTGAGATACTGAGAATATCTGGGAGTAAACTCAGACATCTTAATGTATCTAGAACTAGTATCAAAGGGATCGGATTAATAGAAGGAGTCAAGTCTCTTCCCAACCTAGAGACACTGAACCTGTCTAGGTGCGAAAGTTTGGAAAATAGAGGTCTGGTGGAGATACTGAAAATATCTGGAACTAATCTCAGACATCTAAACATATCCAGCACTAATTTAACAGGGATTGGATTAGAACAAGGATTCTACTCTCTTGTTAACCTGGAGATACTGTACCTGGATGGTTGCAAAGAATTGGTTGATGTTGGGTTGGTGGAGATACTGAGAATATGTGGGAGTAAACTAAGATATCTAAATGTATCCTGGACTTGTATCACAGGGGTCGGATTCAAGGACGGAGTAAAATCTCTCCCAATGTTGGAGAACCTAGAGCTGGCATTCTGTGATGAGTTGACTGAAGAAGGACTCCAGGAAATACTGAGCTTAGCAGGGAATAGATTGAAGATTGTGTGTGTGTATGGAGAAAGAATATCTGCTGTTTGCATAGAAACTCTCCGTATTCAATATCCTTCTGTTCAATTTGAGTGGTAACCTGTGAACACAGATATTTAAGAACTGTTGAATATTACTCGGAAGAATATCCTCCGAATTTCTAGATTCAAGATTTCTATTGTAAATAAAAATTCCTTGTCTTGTCAAAACCTAGTTTAAAGTTTTTTCTTTGTTTTAATTCTTCTGAGATACTTTTTTTCTTGGCAGTTTTTGCTTTGTACAGTCTACATTTTTGTAAATATTTTTGCTGGTATATTGTAATGAGAAAAAAGACTCCAGGAGATACTGAGCTTAGCAGGGAATAGACTGTGCGTGTATACGGAAAAAGAATATCTGATGCTTGCATAGAAACTTTCCGTATTCAATATTCTTCTATCCAATTTGAGTGGTAACCTGCTAACACAGTTTTTGGTTTATACAGTCTACACCAATGTTCATTTTTGTAAATATGTTTGTTTTGTAATTTAATCTGAATGCGGATTTCTTGTTTAAATGTGTTGCAAATATTTTAAAAAGATTTTTCATCAAGCTTTCATGTTAAATTGTTTGTTGTTCTGTAAATTCATACTGTCAAATTAACATTAATTAGATTTATGTTTTTCTTCAATGGATCCTAATTGTATGTTAATGTTTGACCTATTTTCAGAGATAAGAAAGAAACAGTTTAGAATGGAGAACAAGTTATCTTTGCATAGAGAGGATGGGTGATCTTACAGTAGTACTCAAGTATTTAACTAAGACGGACAAGATGTCACTGTGAGCTTCTAGTACAACCTTGCGGAGACGGATTAATGAGTTAGAGAACACCTCCAAGGTTTGGAGCAAAGATGAATTAGATGCGACTAATATGAGAGTATATTAAAGACACTTCCTAAAAGAATTTATGGTTTAAAAAGATTTTAAATTGTCATTTTCTTTGTTTGTGTCCGATAAAATATAATCTATTTAGAGATATTAAGTTTTTCTAGGAAAAAAATTATTTGGATCTTTCACCTTTAAAGAAACTAACTAAAGTATGATATGGGTTTAAATAATTTAAAATCATAATTTTCTGTTTGTAGAAATGTTAATTATTTTTTTATAATTTTATTTTTCTTCCCTGATTTGATTTTGCATCATAGAAATGATTCTTAGTCTTTTTCGGTTGCAGACGATCCCTGGGACAGTTGGCTTTATTTTCAAGGCCTAAAATTCTAAAAGACCTAAAATCTTAAAATAATTATTATAATGAACATGAAAAAATATTTATAAGAAAACCTCCCCCCTCCGTCCCCTATCCAGGCCTCTAATAAGGGGAATGAATAGAGTATTTGTTCATGTTCCTTATTAATTGATAGAATACCGGTGCAAAGTGAGTACCCTTTACCTCTATTATTACAAAAGTTATTACAAATTACTGGTCCTTTCCACGGTTTTTCTTTTAATATTATAACAATAATTTTGATTATTACACTTTCTTCCTACGAATAATATACTATTATCAGGTTGCTAAGATAAATGGATTAGAAAATTTGAGTTTGTGGCAAATACTTTATTCATTTTGTAATCGTTGCCTTTTTTATATCTTTATAATTTATTGGTCGAAGGAACTGAGCCACAAAGTCATATTTTCAAATCCCTATATCTTAGCAACCTGATGGTGTAAACCATTAATATTTTAGACTTTGAATATTTGATCCATCAGAATTCATAGTTTGAAACATTAAATGTGATGTGTAAGACATGTTGTTGGAAAGATATAGGGATTAGAAAATCAGAGTTTGTGGCAAAGACTCAATTCCTCTGTCCTAGGACTGATGATGATATAAAAATATCGAAACATATTTCCTACTTTTCAAATATAACTTTTTTTACACTTTTTAAAAAAAAAAAGAGTATTGATTATGTCCAAT